TTCCAGGCTACAGGTGAAAAAACACATAATATCTGTCTTCTCTTAAATGCATTAAACACTATTCCAATCACATCAATTGAATCGGAAAGGGCATTCTCGGTGGCAAGACTTTTCATTACTAAAATAAGAATTAGAGTGAGTTATCGGAGTATTGACCATCTTTGCTTTTTAAAATCTTATAAAAGTTTGCAATATTTTGTATTACGTTTTATTTAAAAAACGAAAATTACCTTCTAAGTTATAAGTTCATTTTTTTTAATTTTTAACTCAATTCAAAACATTTTTTTTTGTTGTTGTATGCAGTTCCAGCAAACTTTAATTAATTTTTTTCTATTTGTGAAAATTTCTACGTTATTTAAAGATAATTTTTATTATAGGCCTATAGACCTTACACAACATTATTAATATGATTTTGGAGGCTACAGAACTTTAAAATTACTTTAAAAAATGAAAAATAATCATATCATTTGATTTCAAGATATTTTGTATACCTTAAAAATAATTAATTCTATCCCGGGATTTCCCGNTTTTAATTTTAGTAAACTTTTTTAATAGTATAAATATATATATATATATAACAAATGCCAAAAATTATAAAAGAAAGTTAAATACAACAACAAATTCAAACAATATTTTTATATTTTACTTACTGATATAGCACAGGAAACGGTTCAAGAATTTGATCAACATATGTCATAAACAATTCTGGATAACAGCCAGAGATTTTGGCCAAGTACAAAACATCTCTTGGTGCGACCTGATGACTTCTTTTTACACACAATTCAATTACTTTGGCAGGATGTGCTGTAACCAGTCTAAAAAAATATTTTTATATAGCTTAAAACAAATAATTTGCTTGTGCATTTTTGTTTTAATTATATTTTAAAAATTATTAATGTTTTAATTTATGATACTAATTTTATATCCAGATGAATTTAATTCATAAAATATTTGGTAAATTCTTCAATCTTGATAAAAACATTATTTTCTCTCAATTGTCAACATTCTGGTCATTGTTAATTATGACTAAAGCTGGGCAAAATACAGTCTACCCTCTATAACACAGTAGATACGTTCTGGTTTTTATGAATCCATTTTCTACGAGTCCTGCCAATCACAGCCCGGCAGCATGTATGCAGTTTACAGACTACAGCTGTTTGAAAGGTTTCTTCCATAAAATTAATCGATTCTAGACTAATTCGACTCAACATTTCCAAAATACGTATAATTTTTTGGGAATAATCCATATAAACTATGCTATAAACAAAAAATTGTAAGATTACTTACCAAGTGTGCACCGTTTGACTATGCCATTGCTTAAGCTTGTTTTCATCGTGGAGCTTGTCATCAAATAGCGCTCGCGTGCTTCCTGATAAATTATTTTTTGTGAAAAATTCGCTGAACTTTAGAGACATCATTAATATAAATATAATTTTTATGGACGTTAAATAATAAATGGTTTTTAGTAGGTCCGCTGCTCGTTTAAACTCAACAGTTTGTACAATATCCGCTATTGGTCTAGATTCGACCAATCCTGTCACAACACGAGTCGGTGATGATGTTTTACCGAATTCTAGGAGTTTTTTTAGCATGTTTGTATGAATACTGTCACAATTTTTTCACCGTGATACAGGAATCTGAACTACAGGAACCTGTGTTATAGGGGGGGTCGACTGTACTAAAAGATGCTTTAATTTTTGTATATATATTATCCATTATTATTTATAAATAGGACTTATTATACTGGTGTGTTTTCAAATTAGCAAAAATAAGGAAAAGTCAAAAATAAGACAAAACAATCTTTATTTTCACTGGTAAAAACAAAGATTGTCCTATAAATAAATATTTTGTCTTATAAGTCCTATTTATAAACATAAAAAATAAATTTAAAAACTCACGCCAATATTTGTCTAGTTTCTGGGTACAAATTCACTGAGTTCAGCGTTAATAAAGCTTCTTTAGTATTAACACAAGTACTTTCGACGAGTGTATAACCGTCGTCTTCAGGCGAAAAGAACAAGTTTTTAATAAAACGAACGTGCAGGATGTTCCAAAAGAACATAATATTTAAATTCAAACAGGCGTCCGAAAATTCTGTTACAAATATGCGAATGATTTTTGATATTTCGAATCTTCATATTTTACGATGCTAGCGGCGCATGCATGGAGATGCTACCGCGTTGGCAATACGATGTTGGGCGCGTTTCATTTTTTAGGCGTCGATAGAAGGCAATCCACACCCCGCCTAAAAAACGAAACGCGCCCAACATCGTATCGCCAATGCGGTAGCATCTCCACGCATGCGCCGCTAGCATCGTAAAATATGAAGATTTGAAATATCAAAAATCATTCACACGTTTGTAACGGAATTTCCGGACGCCTGTTTGAATTTAAATATTATGTTCTTTTGGAACATCCTGCACGTTCGTTTTATTAAAAACTTGTTCTTTTCGCCTGAAGACGACGGTTATACACTCGTCGAAAGTACTTGTGTTAATACTAAAGAAGCTTTATTAACGCTGAACTCAGTGAATTTGTACCCAGAAACTATTTATAAACATGATCTACATGGATAATATATAAACAAAAATTTAAATATTTAAGGACATAGACAAAGAATTACTAAAAAAAAATATTTAATACAAATACTAGATATGCATATTAAGTACTTTGAAAACTCAAATACAAAATATTGATATTTATATTCAAATATTCTAAATACCAGAAATATTACATTTAAAAATTCAAATATTAAATTCTTTTAGTGTAGAAATATTTTACAAATACTTGGAATACTTTAAAATTACTTGGAATAAATAAATAAAATTTGCTTTACTAAGTTTCTTACAAAAACTAATTAGTCCAAAGGACTAATTCACATTTCCATTTGTTGACAAAAATGCTAACAGAATTTAACTAGTATAAATTTAACACATAAAGTTTATTTTTGCATCAGAAGAAATCTTTTCCTTCAAATCTTGAAAAACCTATATTCTTAAATATACTATAGTTAGTGAAACTGCATTTAACAAAGAAATTCCTTCTTCATTATGTAATTAACAGGCTCAATGAAATAATTAACTCAATAAAAATGCAAAAATTTCAGAGAAAATAAAATTGTTACTTGACTGGTATAACTAATGCAGCAACATTATTATTATTATTTATTAAACTGTTGTTATAAATCTACTAATTCACTGTATTTAATTTAATCATAAATGTTTTCACAGATTATGTTAACCAATAAATTAATTTTATTATTACTGTTAGTATAATTATTTTATTATATAGCATTTTAATTAGTTAGTTTTACAATTATTGAAGAAATAAGGAAAAATAAAATTATGGAATACTAAGTTCACTTACTTAAATAAATGAGCAATAAGTACAATTGAAGTCCAAGCACTATTTTCCAAACTTTGAATGGCAGCATTTATTTGTCCAGATATAAATTTTTTGTTGAAATCATCATCCTCACTTAAAAGCATAGCTCCTTTTATTAATGTAAGCCAAGTTTTGAACATACTTTTATGTTCAATGGTAATAATTTCTCTTACTCTCCCAAGATCAAGCAAATGGAAAAAATTTTGAATAAATATAGATAAATAATCATCATCAGTCCAATTAATATCTTTAAAGACTACAGGTCCTTGGTAAGAATTTTCAAACTGAACAATATCTTCTTGAGATTTATGTACAGATGGGATAAGCAATGTTCCATTTACAGGATTTCCTTCATTAAGGCTATTTAAAAGTGATTTTTCAGCTCTCAAAGTAAAAGGAATATCACCATTTTTTGGAATGTTTAAATTTTGTGCTTCGAGAGTCTGATCGATCTCCTGTAAATCGACCTTTTGCTTCTCCGTATCTATAATCGAACACAATAGTATACTTGATTTTTTCAAAATATTATCATTCACGTTTGATTTTATTTCGTTTTTGCTAAAAGTCTGATGATGTTGAACAAGAGAATCTTCTAAACTATTTGTAACATTCAAATGATTATACATAGAAAATGAATTAATTTCAGAAGATACAGAATAATATTGATTATTTGGTTCTTGCATATTAATTTGATCTTTATTAAAAAATTTATTCAATTTTATCAAATCCCCATATATTCCAGTCTGAAAACATAAAGTAGCAAGTTCGGACAGTAACTGATGATCGACCTGTGATAATCTAAACTGATCATAAACAAATACAAAATTACCAAGGCCACCAGAGAAATATTTAAATTTCTTTTGTGTTAAAGCAGAAGTTACTTCATTTTCTTTTGACTGCCTTGTTTTTGACTGTTCTGTTTTTTGATCTGTACTGATGGAAGTGGTATTATTTACATCACTAATTTTATTTTCAGAGGTTTCATTTGATGGAAGATCAATTGCATCAGGCACTTTGGTTTCCATATTAACAGTAGTATTAATCTTTTCAATCTTTTCAAGAATAACATTTTGGATTGTAATTAAATCTTTAAACCAATTGTTTAAAATTAATTCCATGTTTTCTTTATTATATATTATGTCAGGATCTCTTAACTGATACCTAAAAGAGAAAACAAAATGTCTATTTTAATATTAAAAATGTACAGTAATTTTATGGATTTAATTCATTTATATTTTATCATAGTTTAAGACAGAAAATATTAAATTATATAAAAATATAGCTATTTTTTAAAGTATTTTATATTCTCTTAACATTTCATAACATTTTAAGAAAATAACAGATGGCATAAACATTTGCTAACATGTAATCATGAATATACTGTTTAATACAGGGGTTCCCAACCTTGTTCCCAACACTTTGCTGCGAGCAAAGTGTTGAAATAATAGAAAAAAATTAAATCTTAAAAATAAACAAAATAAAAAGTTACTTTAGTTTCTAAAATCTTGCTAGATGTAGTGAGAAATTCGATAAATTGGCTACACTGACCTACCTAATCCATCACGCCTATTATAATCATGTCTCCAACTGCGACTCTATTGTATTAGTAGTATGTATTATTTGTCACTGTTGTCATCACATGCTATCGTCGTGTTGTGTTTGTTTTTTTTTTTGGTATATAAACATTTTACCCCAAAATGAGTAATCCAAGTAAAAAACAATTAACTTATCTTTTTAACGAAGATTGGAAAGACTACTTTGTTATCAAAAGTAAGGAGTAATTAATCTGATTAATATGCAACAGTGTTGTGTCAGCAGCAAAAAAACACAATGTCGAACGTCATTACAAAACCAATCACAGTTCTCTTGAGGTTAGTTATACGCCTAAGTTAAGAAAAAGAAAACTTAATCAACTAAAATTGGGAGTATCTACCCAGCAAGCATTTTTACCAGCCATGTAAATAAAAATAAAAATGCCACTATTGTTTCCATTAAAATTTCTCATTTATTGGCAAAACAAAAAACATTTCTAGAAAGTAAACTAATGAAGGAAGCATTTCTCGTTGGAGCCGATTTATTATTTGAAAGATTTTGTAATAAGCAAGAAATTATTTCAGCAATACAAGATTTGCCATTATCAAACAATACAAGTACAAAAAGAATCCAGGCAATTTCAACAGATTTACAAAGTCAGTTGAAAAATGATTTGGAAGAATGTGAGTATTTCTCATTACAATTAAATGAGTCAACAGATATATCAGATACAGTGCAATTGGCAGTAATGATAAGAATGGTATTCAGTGATTTTAGTGTAAAAGAAGAAGTATTAAAGTTACTACCAATGCAAGAGCAAACAGAGGATGAAGATATTTATATCATCTTTAAAAATTACTCAACAGAAATTAATATGCCTTTACACAAGTTATTAGCAATAATTACTGATGGTGCACCAGCAATGGTGAGCTGCAATAATGGATAATAATGGATTTGTTTCCTATTGCAAGAAAGATGAATTCTTTCCAAACTTTATATATTATCACTGCATCATACATCAAGAATTATTGTGCTAAAATATTTTTCTTTGAACATGTTATGAATGTTGTTGTTATAAAATAATTATTAATTAAAATAATTAACAAAATTTGAGCAAATCCTTTATCTCACAGATTGTTTAAAACACTTGTAGAAAAGGACCAATCTTCCCAAGCTGACCTTATCTTACATACAGATATAAGATGGTTAAGTAAAGGCAAAGCTCAGCCAATTTTTTAATCTTTTGGAAGAGATAAAAAAAATCCTTATTTCAAAATTTCAAATGTTTGATCAATTAGATAACCTACAATGGTTGATGGACTTGGCTTTTTAACTGACATATGTGAAAAACTGAACAGTTTAAACCTGGATTTCCAGGGAAAAACTAAACATCTAGCTGAAATGATTAGCTCTATAAAAGCATTCAAAGCCAAAATATAGTTTTAAATAAATAATCTGTCAAAAAATTCTCTTGTACACTTTCCAAGGATGAAAAAAGCAACTGGTGAAAATAATTTTGACATAACATTATTTATTACTCATATTAAAAAACTTTTGGAACAGTTTGAAAGTAGATTTCGACAATTTACCATTATCAAACCCATGGCTAAATTTTTTGTAAATCCTTTTACTACACAAGTAGATATTACTGAAACTGCTAAATCTATACCAAAACTTCTTCAAGAAGAAACAATGAAAATTGAAGAAGAGATTTTTGAAACATTAAATTTAAGAAACTCACTGTCAATAAATCATTAATTTTTTTAATGTCTTGTAAATGAAAACCTTTCCTGATTTTAAATCAGTTAAATTACAATGTTATTATTTTATTGTACAGTATTTGGAAGAATGTTTTCTTTAATGTTTAATTCATAACTAGTTTTGTAGGATCTGATTAACTTTAAATTTTAGTTGCTGTTTAACTGGCATGTCAGAAACCCATGGTTTCTGGCATGCCAGTTAAACAGCAACTAAATCTGCTAATCTGCTAAATCTGCTAATGCTGGTCTCTTTCATTTATATGCATGCCACATATAAATGGTCAGTCATTCCACAAATATAGGGTACATCTAATATAAAAATGTTTCAACATTTTACACTTACTTTTGAACAATAAAGAATACCATCTGCCTCGGCACTATTTTTGAATAATTCTTTATTTAACTTTTTTTACTTTTGAATATATGCTTTGGTTTAATTATTAATAATCTTTAATATAATTTACACTTACATTCATTCACACACACACACACACACACGCTTATTATTTTTATTACATTAAAAAAGAATCAATTATAACTTTTATTCTATACATTAAATCAGAATTAACTTTAATAATAAAGATTTATTAGGTAAAGCTTTACAGAAAAAAATTATTTTTGATTTTTTTCTTGAATAAGAAATATAAACTTTCAAATTTGAGAAATAATGCAGAAGTACATTATTTTTATTGTATTTTTAGCTGTTGCAAATAAGATTAATATATTCTATTCATATCAAGTTATATAACTGATAAAATTGTAAAATTTAGAATTTACCTCGTTTTCCTGGAACTTTCTAATAAATTTGATACATCAACTGGAGTTAAAAATGACCAAAAATCTTCATTATCAACAGATGTATTACATTGCATTGCAGATTCTTTTTCTGTATTGAGAATTTCATCTAAATATAAAAGTTAAATTACAATTATTAATAACTTCTAAATATATTTATAGGTAATAATAATCTATAAAAAATGTTTATTTTCAATTTAAAAATATTAGCTATATTGTTTTAGTTCCATAAGCTAAAAATAACTTACAAAAATAAATACATTTTATATTGTTTGCCATTCAATTATAGAATTAGACATAGGATAATCCTATCATTGTAATTACATTGCCTGTACTTCTAATAAACAATTATTTAATTTATTTAATTTAAAATATATGCCCTCCACCTCAAATTAGTAGTAGCTTGCCCCTGGTATAAAATATATGCCCTCCACCTCAAATTAGTACTGGCTTGCCCTTTCCTTTAACAATAGAGTTGTTCCGGTCATCTATTAACTGCTTTCAGGAGAAAAGTTTTGAATTGAAATAACACAAACCAGAAGTTCACATATAGTTATTCTCCTAATCTGATTATTATACACTATATTATATATATAATATTTATTACATTGATATTATTATTATTNTTTATCCCATGTTGAAATTTTTCTCTGTTGCGTGTCGCTTTGCGTTGAATTTTCATTGATGTTAAGCCTAACGAAGACTATTGTATCGTTAAAAATTATTTTTTTATTTTGTACGAACAAAATAAATATATTGAAAAATATAAAAACAATAAAAAATTATACTTCAGAAGTTAATTTAGTATCAAAAACGTAAAATATTTGAGTAGCCCAAGACATAGCCAAAGATTGCAGTGCCACAGCACTGGCGAAAATTTAAATTTGCCGACTGGAATTCTTTTGGATGATTGACTTTCGGATAATCGATGCTCTACTGTATATCTAAAAACAGTTATAAAAAATTAGGTCACTTCTGAACATATTTAAGGCCCACCAGTGGCTAAGTTGTCTTCGTTCCCTGAACACTGAGAGTTTGGTCGTGGGTTCGCATATTGCTCAGATGGGCTGGTTACGTGGAGTTTTCTGGGGTTTCTCCATGTCTGTAATGCCTAAATAGGGGCCAGTTTCCCTTAAAAAGACCTCCCAGAAGGCATCCTCCTAGGCAGATCATCCAAGTGTTGTGTTGCCATAACTAGACAAACAAACTGAATATATTTGAGGAAAAAAGTAGGTATGTCACAAGATTAACCTACATGTTTTGGATCCTACTAATTTTGATAACATTAAATGACCAATTACAATATACAGAATTACAATAACCAGAGTCTAGTCACTATATATTTCTTAGGAAAACATTGTATTTCATAATCATCAGAAGATGCATAAGGGTCAACAAAATAACAATTACAGAGAAAAACTGCAAGTTGGCTGAAGAGGGGCAAGAAATGCCTGAAATGTGTATAAATGAAAAGAACATATATCAACTGAATAAAATTTAATTCTGTGATTTGCCAAGTGTCTGTATAAATACAATAAATAATTTGTGTTTGAATTACAAAGATTACTGGCACAGTTTCAAAAATACCAGAATTGTATTTCATTTTAAAAGTTTTTTAAAACAAACTAATCATTACATTTATATACAAAAATTAATGTTAGTAATAAATAATAATAATAAAAAATTAACTTAAATATTAAAACACATTACATATGTTCAATGACAATTATTACACATTATGATGCATCATATTACAGCATATAAGAAAAAAAATTGTATTTTTACATACATTTTTTTTGTAAATGCTACATGTAAATAAAAATACAAGATTAAAAAAAAGATAATTAAATTTTGACAGCCTACAAGAAAGTGGATTTTCATTACAAATGCAATGAAAATCACAACCAATAGTAAACTATAAGCAATCATCATTCTACTTAAGAATTTATTTTGGTTTGAACTCTTCCCATTCTATAAGCATTAAGATCTTATTTTGCAAGTTTCTGATGAGCTCAACCCCAGACCTACAATAGGAGAAGCTGGAGGGTGACTGACAAGGCACAATGTATGTATGAAAAAGCCTCAAGGTTTCCAACCCAAACTCAAATTTGATCCCCATGGTGGCAAGCTAGCCTTTACCCATCTTAGTACCAAGATAGAGAAAAACTGTAATAAAAAGCATTAATGAATTTTATTGAAATACTGATTAAATAATATGAAATTTAAAAAGAAATGCATTAAAGATTGATGTATATGTAACCAGTAAAATGCATTTCAGTGATAAAAATATATTAAGAAATATTAAAAAAGAATTCTTTTAAATATTTCCAAAATATTTATATTTAACAAAGTCTCATCCTTAAAGACCAAACTGTTAAATACAAATGGCACAGCTTAGTCTCTATGGCTCTTGTACCAAAAACATCAGCAAACCATTAAATACAAATTTAACAGTAAGCTATTTTGTTTACATTCATTTTTTTGAATATTTGCTTTTTTTAAAGCTATACTAATTCTTAATTTATTTATATTTCTAATTAAAATTTAATTTTATATTTAACATAAATCTTCTTACCAGATCTTGCTTCTACTGCTTTACTATTTATTCCATAATCACTCTGATCATCACTAATTTTCTCTTTTGGACCAACATCTAATAATTCAGACGAATTTTGTCCTTTGTTTCTGAATCGCAATTCAAATTCTCGAAGATTTTGTAAAATACTTTTTGTTCTTGAACTTAATTTGGCTGAAATACTGAAATTAATCAAAATATTAAATATTTTTCAATTATAATAATTTTATTTAATATATTGACATTATTATTATTGAACAAAATTAAAGTCTTAATTATTTTCACTTGAATTTTTATCATTAAAATATATTTTATCTCTAACAGTTATGGAGATATTAATACTTATACCATAAAACTTGCTACATGCTGTAGCCTGTACAAGGTTATAAACTTGCTTGTAAAATTCATTGCAATGCCAAAAGCATTTCAGAAGTGATACTGTTCCTTTCCTACTGGATTTTGTTCTGGAGTTGTACCCTAAAATCTTGGCTACAAGCTGCAGCCTATTTATGAGAGTATCTTATCCATGAAAAAGACAATATTCCTGTACAAGTTTTGCTTCTGCAGCTTATATGTATGGGCCACCTTTAACCAAGATTTATGGTATTAATTTAATGCAAATAGTACTTTTGTGCAAGTTTAATGACAATAATTGTTATGAACTGATAAACATTAGCTATCATTTATGTTCAAATGGCCAGATTCATATACTATTAAAATGATTTGATTTAATTTAAGATTACAGAAATATATCAGAATTTATTCTGCATTTTTTTCTATAGAATAATTAGTAATAATTCAATCAATTTTACACAAAACAGTAAATGCAATTATAACATTTAAATATCAAATTATTATTATTAAAACAACAATATTAAATTTTATTTTTACCAATGTTGTACTCAATTTTTTAAAGATTTTTCTGCCTTTTCATTAATTGTAACAAATGCTTTTATGAAATAGCATATTAAACAGTTGATGAAATTATTATTAATTCAGTACAATTCTGGCATTCAAAGATGTAAGTCATTATAAAAATAATTAAAAATTACTGTGTATTAAGTGGCCAATCAGATACTCTCTTGATCTGTGAGAAATCCCAAATTCACTTAGTATGGATTTAATAAGATATTGGAAGTATTTCATGAAAATCTTGGTATGTGCTGACATGATGTCTTGCAAACCACTCAAACATCTTATACCCATACTTACTGAATTAGATTAAAGCATGAATTTTAAGCAATTATTAAAGTATAGTGGTACCTTGGAACTCAGATTCAATTCATTTCTAGAGTGTATTCAAGTTCCATAAGGAATAATGTAAAGTGAATAATCCACTTCTAAACCCCAAAAATGCTCATTTTAATTCTAAAATATCATAATTTAAAACTAAAATAACACAATGCCCTAATTAATGCAAAAAATAATTTAAAAAATAATAGATGATTAAATAACAATGGAAAAAGTAAATAATGCAATAAAAGTAAGGAGATGAAATAAGCATAACTGGGCTCACTCAATACACATCCCAAACTCTTGTTAACAGATTTTCATTGTTTTGTAGCTCAAAAAAAATTAACACAATCTGTTAACACTACCAAATCATGAATACCATAAAGATATCATACATCAAAGAGAAGGACAGTCTTTGTCTTTGAGTTCCAAGAAAAGTTCAACTTCTGCAGTGTTTGAGTTCCAAGATACCATTGTAAGAAGAATTAAGTCATGTTTTGTAAACCATTTCTTAATAGTATCTGTATTGTGACAGTGTATTGTCTGTTGAGAATACCTTTGAATATACTGCAGTAATGAAAAAATGTACCTATTAGCAAGAATGTTGCAACAAGCTTTGAATCTATTAGTTTCAGGGAGAATACATGCCAAAAAAATATTTCATGTATCATTATAATGCTATACTGTACATTGGAATTGGACCTGAATTTCGTTTTTTGTATTATTTCTTTTCCTTTAAAAGTGTATTTCATAAACTTTTTTCCAAATTTGTAATTTATGCACATGTCAATCATAATCAATTTAGATAACTTTTAGAAGTATATTAAACTATTCTGTAAATGTACTATTCAGAAGACATTATTTTCTTTTATAGCTCAACAGGGCTTTGAATGTGTGTTAGAAATTTCTAAATTTCTAATCAAAAACCCAGGGGAGGCAGGTTGTTAGGGATCAGAGGGGTTGAATCCTAGCAATAATTTTATCAATCACTTATTGATAAAAAGTGTCATGTTAACAAATTATTTAATTCTTTTTATAAACTAAACTAGGGAGGGCTTTGCTTCCTCACTTCACTTGCTTGTCCCATGGGTTTCTTCCACTTGTTCAAATATTTCATGATGATTCATCAATTTCCAGTGTTCTAATCTATCTTTCCACTTCTATTCCATTTTTTAATTATCAATAGCTAAGCCTATTCCCAATATACTCTGAACTGCTTAACCATGTTTGAAAGTGTGCAAATTACTGTTTTGTAATCCTTTGCACTTTATATTTTTTACTGATTCAGTAATTCATAATTATTATATTTATTTTTCCATTTTATTTCATGATTTACAGGCCTAAATAAATATTAAACCATTTGTTTAAGTACTGCTTTTACTCATTTTATTTCTTATTGCATTCACTTCAATTTTAAATGCTGTTAAAAATTTTTGCTAATTTTCATTATTGTTCATTTTACTAAATTACAGATGCTAATGCTTACTGTAAGTATACATTTTGAACTTGTCATTGTCATATTCTTCATAACTTTGCCAACCAATACTGTAAATATGTATAATCAAATAAATATGCAAAAATAGGCATATTTGCATATTTGTTATGTTATTATTTATCTTAAAATCCAGATTTTCTATTAACCTAAATAACATTTTTAACCTGGCTCTATCATTTTCTGGATCCATGAGCCACCACTGAAATAAATCTTTAGATGAAATAAATCAAACAATGTATATTTCTCTAGAGTATTTTAATGTCTGATTTTTTTATCAGGTAATTATACAATTTGCCTAGAGTTAAGTAGTATCATCATATACTTTGATTATTAAATTTAATTTTAATTAATTAAAAATTTTTAGGAACATTAAAAAAAGATTGGCCTGGATTAATCAAAGCAAATTATTTCTTAAACTGAGCAGATGTGTTATTAACTGTGTTATTCAGATCCCAATCAATTTCATCTCCAGATAAAAGTAAAGTAATTTATAAATATGATATGATCATTTAAATTACTTGCCGATTGCTGTAAGGAATACCTTTATCAATCAAGTAATAATAATTGTATTGTATTTGTATTGAAAGTAATAATAATATTTAAATTGATATATTATTAAGATAATATATAAAATTTATCATCTTACCTGTCTTTGATTTTAGATAATTCAATTATACTAGAATCAACAGTATCTGTTCCTGAGAAAATTGAAAAATCCATACTTGAAGGTAACATCATTCCACCTCCATACATTGCAAATTGAAAATAACTGTCAAAGCTAACAGCATCCTTATAGGTATTACTTAATAGAATTTCATCAATGTCACCCATTGGACTGTTTCTTTCTGATCTACCAAATGGTGTACCTGTTTGAGGTGTTGTTTTGCCACTACTCTGAGATTCTGAAAAAATTAAACTTTCACGTGAACTATTTGTAGAAGAAAAACTGCTCGGAGTACCTCCAGATTTAAGTCTGTATTCATATGGTAGTAAATCTTCAATGGATTTTGGTCTATATTTTTTTACATTGCTACCTGTTTGGGGTGATTCAGTTCTAAACTCTAATTGTGGTTCTAAACACACACTGTGTTTTCTAACTTTGTTTTTATCTTCACTATCACAACTTCTTCTATCAAATTCTGGGTAAGTATCTGACATTGGTGTATCTTTATCCTTTTCTGTATATGGTTGATCTTTATGAGCTACAGATGCAAATTCAGATGTAATAATTTCAGAAAGTACTTTTGAATCCCCATCTAGCTCACCTTTAGAAGCAGCTGAAGAAAGAGAATTTAATGCATCTTCCGCAGGTGAAATACAACAAGGAGTTCTGGAAACTTCATTATCTGATGAATTTTGATATAAAGGTTTTTCTGAATTCCATAATTCGGGTGAATCGGGTTCAGTACTTACAGCAGTTTCAATATCGTCATCTTGAGGCCTATCATTTTTCATTTTAATACCCTTTGAATTTGATTTATGTGTACGAGCTTTCTCTTTCAAGACTACTGGCGTTGGAGATCGTGATTGTGGTCGTTTAGCATAAGAATGTGTTCTTCCAGATATTTTTACAGAAGGACTGGAACGAATGATATTGCCATGTGTCTGACGAAACATTGGCGAAGACGATCTCCATCTGGCAGAACGCATTGATGATCTACAATGGCAATCATCATCAGTTTCTTTTTCTCTTCCTCTACTGACAACATAGATTCCTGAATCTAACTTCATGGGTTCAGACATTGCAGAACTTGCTCTGCTATCCTGAGAATTACTATCGGCTGCAATTTCTAGATGATTTAAAGCGAGCGATAAACTATCAGCAAGATTCATCCGCCCCATATCCAATATCTTCTGTTTTAAATCAGTCAAAAGGGCTGTTGTCATATGAAACTGCAGAATGCTAGGAGTTAATAAATGAAGTTTAGAAAGAATAAGTTGAGCACTTTGTACTAATAATCCATGTTGATACAGATGGCACACAGCTTTCTCTATAGTAACTAGGGAATATTTGGCAAATTCTCCATTTATGTAATAAATATAAACATCATTTTTGTAGCACTTGGCATTTTTAACTCCTGTTTAAAGAAATGTTTAAATAAATTTTAAATCATCAAACTTTATAGTTTTTAAAAATCAAAATATTACAAAGCTTAAAATCATAAATTTTATACCTGTTATTTCATTATTCCAAAGAATTACTTTGTGTCTTTTAGGATCAAATATATAAAGACCTCTTTGTCCCCAGGTGAGAAGAAAGGGAAATGTTTCAGAACTGAAAATTGAATTGTGTTATTCCATTGTGTATAGACTAAATATATTTATTAAATTGTATTTTATAATATATTTCTGATATAACATAACTTTTTTCATACATAAAAAAAAGCTAACAATAAAGATATCATATTAAAATATTGACATTCAAGTATTTTTATGAAATATCTGAATGAATTTATAACATGTATTTCATTTCTGAAAACATGTCATCATAAATTACACATTTTGTATAATATTGTAAGATATCATTTCTACACCTATATTAATTTTAAATTTTTTTATATATTCACCACACTATTAATTAATTCTACTTTTAACATAAAGGCATAATTTCCAACAAAAATTATCAGTATTTAATTTCAATTAACAGCTATTACTTAAAAATTTTTAAAAATAATTAGATAAGCTAAGCAAATTGCTTTCTATTTTATCTAGTGAAACTATAAACAGTTCATTTTTACAAAATTGCATTTTATTTCAAACAACCTGTGCTAAAATCTAATGTAGCTTCTCACTTATATTTTAATTCTGTAAGTTAAAATTAAATTCCTAAACCAGTGTGGAAAATTTGTAAACTTTTACCTGGGCCAGATAGTATATATTTTATGAAATGCTGCAGACTGTGGATTATATGTCAAATCACCACAATCACTTTCAATTTCTCTCCTGAAATAAAATGAATTTTAAAAATTAATCAAAATAACATTAGAATTTACAGTTTTAAGTAAAAATTAAATTTATATAGTTTCCATATGATTGAATTTACATAAAATTTATAAATTTTTTACCAAAAAATTTTTTCTTGAGAGTAAGGAAATCTTTGCAAATTAAATTATACATTTCTTGCCAAATGATTATATTATACAATCTATGCTAATGTTCAAATGGCAAACTTCACTTGTTAATTTTGTTCAACACAAAATTACAGTAATTTCACTCTCTCTCTCTCAATACAAGTTATTACAGTAGCGTGTCGATTATCCGAATGCTAATCAACCAAAACGTCGGTTAACCGAAAGCGTTCCTGTCGGACTGTGTCATGCTGAATTGAACATTTTTAATACTAGATTACTTCTAAAGTATAATTTTTTTGTTTTTATATTTTTCAATATATTTATTTTGCTTGTACAAAATAAAAATATAATTTTTAACAATTAAATAGCCACGATTATTATTTTAGAAATTTTCGTTACGCTTAACATTGGCGAAAATTCAATGTGAAGCAACACGCAACGAAGAAAAATTTAAACATGGGCTATATTAATATACTATTATTGGGATATACTAATATATTGTATTAATAATGTATTTTTCATACATAATCAGTTACCTGAAAAATCAATTTTCCAAACAACCCCAGTCCTCAATTAATTTGGATAATCAACACACTATTGTAGTTATTACATTAATTAATGCAATTCAGTTAACACTGAAAAAGCAAGTTTTCATAAAAAAGATCATACATTGTGGATTGCTATTTCTTTATGTAATCTAGTTATTAAAAAATTATTCATGAAGATTTTCTCCTTTTTTCCTTTTAAGATGATAAATAAATAAAGAAGATAATTTCAAATTTTTATCTAATTTTTGAAGAATATTGAAGTTAAATGAATATAATAATCAGAAATATTTATTATACTTGTAATATCTATTTAGAATATCATTACAAATAATTAGATAAAAATTATCAAACCATGAAATTTTATCAGAGTTAATTTTAGTCTCTGTTAAATATCACATAATACTGAAAAGTGTTCATATTATGTGATAATCTTTTCTTTCTTGATGAGAGAGAGAAAGAGTGGATCATCTCGAACAGTGAATCCCAAACTTTTTCAAATCACTGCCCCCTTGGTTCCAAAAACATACCCAACATCCAAAACCATTTTTCCTTGTGCAACAAAGACTTGAAAATATTTTTAGAAAATCTTTTTTATGAACCTCATACTTTGCATCCTTATCATACATTGTTCTCAACATCTGAAAATCATTAAATGCAATGTTTCTTCTTATCCACTTTAACAGAGAAAAGGAAAGTTTGTCAGTAATCCATTCCCTCACCTATAATCACTGTTTGGTTAAGACCCTCCAGTAATCCCTGCCACTCCCATGCTTCTTTTCACTTCCCATAAGATCCTATACAGCAGTTCCCACTTTGGGAACTGCTGATCTTGGATGACCTTCAGGATAATTTTTGAAGATCCAACTAAATTTCATTAAGTTTTTTAAACTCAATAAAAACAGAAAAAGCAAAAACAATTCACAAAAAAACAGAAGACTGGACAAAGAAAACTAGAAAAACAATTTAGTCAATCTTTATCATTTAAGCTTATGAGAATTCCCATAAAACATTTCAAGGATGCATATATAGATAAAAAGAAAATGTCTTATGATTGCACCCATGTGAAAATGTAATAAAAATAAAAATCTCTAGCAATAGTATTCGCAAATAGTATCTTTGTATTTAAGATTTTATTATCTAAGATGAACTTTGGTTGAAAAGTGACCAAAATAATAAATGTTTTGATGATACTTAGTGATTAAAAAGTTACAAAATTGGCATCCTGGAAAATCAAACAGAATTGATTTAGTGGTTGCTTTTAAAAATCCTTGGTCTAGAGCTAAATGCTAAGTGTCAATCTTTTCCATCTCTCTTTCCCTGTGAATATATTAGTTTTGTTTTGACACTGTAAGACTGAAAGCCCTCATCTTCACTATATATTCAGATTTAATTTTTATCATTAAATTCTCATTTAAAGTATTACTGTAAATAAATATTTAAAAAGAAAAAAACACACAAAAGGAACAAATGCCTTTGTGGGTTTTTTCTTTTTTAAATATTTATCAGCAAGAGAGAAATCATTAAGCAGCATTGTTCAATTGTCACAAAGCCATTATGACTTTGCTCAACATTTTTATAAAAAGATCAGATCGTCACTTTGATTAACATGCCAATTTTATTCAAACAGTAGCTACAGCTCCTCTATAAAGCTTAATATAATAACCCCCTTATGGCAGATATTATTTCTAACAACTTACAAAAACATTGTAAAATTAATAAATATCAAACTTCAGCAGATAGGTACTCCATGTCTTTATTTAACAAAGTTTTATAAAAAAAAATAAAATATGTAAAATATACAATCTATAATAGACATATTATTTTTAAAATTATTTTCTTATTACTGGTATAAAATAACACTTATTATTATTTCAAGTATAATCTGCCTTAAAAATTAAAATTTTTAAAAAATATTTAAATGCATTATTAATTAATAATGAATGTCAAATGGATATACATAAATGAAATAATAGCCACATAAAGTTTAAAACAGTAGCCATGGCTATTATTTGAATAAAATAGCTATTTCTTAAGTTTTTCTATTATTTCTCATTCTTTTTAATTTTTAAACATTATTACAATTTTTATTCCATCTTTCATATATCTATAAATCCATTTAATCAACTAGTAAATTTATTCTTAGCATATTTTTTTATAACTTATATACAAATTATATCATATTCTCTATGACACCATTTTTTCCTAGTTTACACTTCTTTATCCTCTTAAAAATTAAGTAATTTTTAAGGACTTTTAAGGGCTGCAAAAAAATTTTTAAGTATTTACATCTTCAGTCTTTAGCAAACCAATAACCTAAAGAATTGAATATAATGAGTGTTTTTAATCATTTAAAATTAGATCTAAATCATATTGAACAGTTAACAATGCATAACATTTTGTTTTATAATGTATCAGGTTGTAAAGGTGAAATTTAGACATTTTGAAAAATACTTTACTGACAATTAATTCAACAATGAATATAGTTTAGCCTGGTAGGTAATCACCATCAATCACATGCTGCCACCTTTGCTGCAAACTTTCAATCTTGTGAGCATAGAATAAATAGCTGGGGTTTTTCTTTGAATTTTACAAAATAAAGTAATAAATAATTCAAAAAATTAAAATAATGGAGTTCTTTAATAATGGAGATTGATGAGAAAAAATAAAGTAAAAAAAATATTACAAAACAATTTTATAATTCATTAGTTTTTTATTTATGGCTATTTTGACTTTGATAATGAAACTCTTCTAATGAAAAAATTCAAATTTCTGCTATTTAAACTAACTAAGAAATTTTGTAAAATTCAGATGTCATTTTCTCATGATCATCTTTCAATATTACCTATTTTGTGTCTATTTTGTAGTATTTTTGAATAACAATTAAACTATATAATTGCATAGTTCAATTGAAAAACTGATAAATATTTAAATAGGGTCTTTTTCTTGAGAGAAATATTATTATTATTATTATAAGATGAATTTAATTATTTTTATTAAAAAAGTTTTAAATTTATTAAAAATTTTTAAAAAATCATTAAAAACATGTTTTATATATTTCTATATGTGACTGAATTGGAATATTCCTATGTATGACTCATATCATCAATAAATTGTTTACAAAAAGAGTGGAATTCTGGCAATTCTTTTTTAGATTTGTTCAAATAAACGAATCATTAATAAATTATCCCAGCTCTAAACCACTAAAGTTGTGACTACAAGCTACACTGTTATCTAGTTGCTAATTGATCAGCAGAGAATGATTTTCATAGAGAAATATTTTTTTGAGTCAGCAATAGAAATTAAGATCTTTTAATGATTTTTTCCCCCTGATTTTTCATAAAAGTAAATACTTTTAACCATCATAGAAAAACATTAAGCAATTTTTAAGGAATTTAAAGGATTTGTAAGGACATGGAAATTTTGTTTTATATATACTCTTGTATAATCTCTCCAATAATATTAAGAGACAAACACCAGGAAAGCATATTTTAAAATTTCAAATCAAATGCAATTACACTATAAGCTTTCAATTATTTTCATATTGTTGTGTTTCTTTTTACTATTTTCTACTGGCTCTTCTTTTATTAATTTTTTCAAATACAAACATAAAAAAAAAATATACAACTGTTTGAATGTAGAGCAGCTTCTATGAAATTTTGTTTGTATAAACAAAAGAAAAATAGAATAGAATAGACAAAGAGAAAGACAATGGAAATTCAAGAAAGAGAATTGTCCTTGATCTCCTTGTTTAAATAAGTTTGACAGTAAATGTTACTGCTTCATATTGTATAGTTGGAAAATGTTCAAAATTTTTATTCACAAAATTCTTTAATTACAATAATATTTATAACTAAGAATATAAAATATGGAATATGTAATAAAACTTTATCTTACAATTGTTTTGTTTTACTTGTATAGATAATAATAAGTTGAATGTAATTAGAATCTACACATACATCTTCATTTAGAAAAAAGACAAAACATTAAACTAAAAAAAAATATATTATATTTATTTTTCAAAAACAATATCTATAAATCCATAGGAAATACTGCACTCTTTATAATATACCTCATATTATCTATTTCCTAGAATTACAATAAATATAAAATTTATTAAATTAATATTTACGAAGTTTAATAAGAGATGGTGCCTAACATCTACCTCTAATATGAAATTATTTAGAATTTAATTAAAAATATTAGCAGTAAAGTAGCCTGATTTAATCTTGCAATAATTTGGCATATTACTAAATTTGAAATAAATTATTTTATAAAAATTTTGACTTCAGATACATATGTAATATCTAAATATAAGATTATCTACAGTGTAATGCAAAGTAATTTGATGCAGTAAATGAAGTTAAAAAAACTAACAAATACATACCTGAAGGTAGCTAATTTTACTGGAGCAACAGCCAATGCTTGCTTAAACTGATGTGTATTTAGTACATTTCCTTTCATATCAACCTAAAATATATATTTATGTAAACAACAGTTTCAATTTACATATTTCTTTTATTGTAATTAAATTTTCTTTCTCATAAATAAAACACAAAACAAGTAATTGTATAGAATCTTTTATTAACTTATAATGAAATGATCTTTATAATTAATTAGCCATATTATAGCCATATTAAAATCTGACAATATCACTTGTTTCTTTATACAGTATATGTTAGGCTTGGTTTATATTGATGTATAATTTTATATAAACTAATTGCAATAAACACAAAATTTTTATTCAATAATTAACAGAAAAGCTATATTACATTTAATAACAAGAGAAAAATAATTGTATTATGTTAGATGTTTTCAATTGAAACAAGTTTTTTCAAACTATAAATCATACAAATAATTACAACTGTAATATTAAAATTGAATTTAAAGTCACTGAAAAATGAATATAAGTAAATTAACTATAATATAAAAAATATAAAATTTTGTTTATGTAGACTATTTCAAATATCTTAATACAATATTTATTACCATATTTAAAGTTGATATTATAATTTTTGCATAAAATCCATACAAAATGAGCTGCTAGAGTTTTATTGAGCTACCAGCAGATGAGCCTGACGTTGCCTGGGCAAAAAACAACAAAGATTAAGATTATTAGATTATTTTGTAATTCTAATGCTTCTACTCTAATAGCCCGAAACGCTCCCTAGTGGGCATTCTAGCAGCAGCGGTGTCATTCCATGGTATAAATAATAAATTCCTATTACAAATAAAATTAATAATATACTGAATTTCTTGTGGCATACCCTACTAAAACAGCCAAAACTGCAAAAAACCACATCAAATAATAATATACTGAATTTATTGTTAATTTAAATAATAGCTAGGGGCACCCCTAGTGGCCATTTTTGTCATACAGTGACAGAAAGAAAGAAAGAATCCGGTTTTTCAGCTTTATATAGTTAGATATTAAAGCTAACTAATAATTCAAAACAAAGCAATTTTGCTAGAGGTGAGTGGTTAAGCTGCTATCTCATGATGAATTTTTAAAATTATAAATAAATTATTTTTTAATAGAATTCAGTTATAAGAACAATTATTTTTCTTCAGCAAAGGCAGATATTTTAAAGGGAACAAATTTACAAGCATACATAATATAAACAACAACAGATGATAAGATAGTTTTCTGTACACAGAAATGACAATCGATCTCTCTAAGGATTATAAACACATCCAAAAAATGCAGAAAGGCAATTCTGTTGTTCCAACTTAAGAGTCAGGCCATACAGCTGCCATTAAACCTAGCATATATGATAATCTCCTATTGAAAAGTCAAGAATCAGAACATTCCAAAAGTTTTAGAACAGGTTCTCACAATGTTCCTGAAGTATCTCTTCCTATAGATAGCACTCTATTTTGGATATACAGTACTGTACATTCTGTTATCAAAATAAAAAAAAAACAAAAAAACAAACAATTAAATTAAACAACTCCAAAATATTACAATAGAGCTTGCAATAATCAGGAACAGAATAAGAGAGAAATTTCACAGTTTGCAAAAACAAGATTGTATTTTGTTAAGACAGAGACATAACTTCAGAATCCATACAAGTCATGTATTACTTATTCACCAAAGCAATATTCCTCAATTTATGTAATATTTGGAGTGAATTAGATACCATATATGCAACCTTCCAACTTAAAGTGATAAACCTCTGTAGCTTTTTTTCCAACAAAGAGGTGGGAGAAGAGAGAACATTTATCCATGACTGATGTGAGGTATGTACTAACTTCATATATTTTAACGAAAAAAAGCTTCAGTACATCCAGCTTACGTAAAACTAATTCAGTAAAATGCGTAGCACAAGCTAATGAAAAAGGATCTAAATATGTTTCCTTTTCCAGTCATACTTTAGCCATCTGTAACAGACTAGATATATCGTTTAAACTATATTTTTTACTTCTTATTTAAATACGAGTTAAATTAATTTTTGTACAGAAAAAACCCATCACATTTAGATTTATTTTCAGAGTGATTAGTTATCTGAGAACTGCTAGATTTAATTTAATAATTTTTATGTTAGATCAGTGATAAGCAAGCTTTTCTGGATGAAGACTACAAAGAAACTTCATTGGCTTCTGGGGATTGTACTTTTTCTTATGGAGTTGCAGGCTCTATGTCTGCTGAGTATTGAATACTCCATAAGCACTAGTACACTAGGTACAATAATAATATAGCTGATTATATGTAAACTAGTAATACATAGTTTATTCTCACTTTTTCTCTAGTCAAGTTTAATTTGAATGTTCTTTGTCACAAATAGTGGTTTAATTAGGGTTGCATAATGGCAGGAGACAGAAAACAGAAAGATAAAACTATGTTGCAAAAGTCTTAGAGAATGCATGTTAGAACCTCACGGAGCTGCACACAACTCAGAGACTGCAGGTTACTTATGACTGTTAGATAATTAATTTTTGTAATGAAAATCAATAGAAAATAAATTTTCTTAACAAAATTAATTTATTGAAATAACTATTATTTAAAGTTACCTCCCAAAATCTTGATCCTGGTCTAGCTGAGAAAATAGTATAAGGATCTTGCAATCGAATACCAGGATAAAAGCAAGCTCCATAATCGCCATCTCTCAACTTTTTACCTATTTGAGAATACTGTTCTCTGAAATTAAAAAGAATAGATAGCTAATTGTTACATATGTATATTTTTCTGTAATATTTATAAAAAAAAGATCTTACTTTAATGTATCACAGAGGTAGCAACGTGTCATTGTTGAGACTAGGAGATGATCTTGGACAAAATCCATCTGAACAATTTTCGAATCAAGTTTCATTAAGGAAGTACTTGGCATTTGAAATAAATTTCTTGTCTGTAATAATATATAATTAAATCAGTTATAAATTAATCATTTCTTGTATTGATAAAAAATTTTTCTGCACATGAATAAATTGTGATTTTGTTCTTAATTGCATCTTAAAATTAAATTGTTATGTTATTAGAACTATATTTCCACTGTCATTCCAGCTGAGTCATTTTCTGAAACCATGTATGAAAAATACATGTAAAATCATCAATAACAAAACTGTAATTTAAAAACTCTTAAACAATCATATTTTTCAGTATAATGATATAAATATTAAAATAAGAATAAGTAATAAAGAATACTATAAGGAATTTTTAAATATTTCCATAGTTTCTCTAATTAAAAAATAAAAAAATTTCTTAAAGTTTCCTATATGTTACCTAAAAGAAATAAAAAGTTATATTTACATCAAAATCACATCTATTCTGATAGAATTTCAAAATATACAAGTTTCTACATGCTATGTTCTGAAATTCTGTAATGGTTTTTTGAATATCTTTGAAATAATAAATATTGTAAGAGAATTGTATATATTCTTTATAACCTACATGATTATCAATTGATTAAAGTAAGTTAAACAATAACTCCTTATTACAGCAGCTTTTTTAGTCAATTCTAACAATCAATTGAATAACTTCAAACAATGATATGAGAGTATTTTTAGTATTGACTTAATAAGTTTATAACTATTTAAAAGAAAAACAGGTTTTTATTGTGTTAAAACATTGTGTTCATTGATAATATTTTTCTCAAATAATCTTGTGTGTTTGGTTTGTGTAATTTCTGTAAAATTTGATATAACTTAAAGGAAAAAATATGGATATTTTACAAAAGTTAGGTATTTTATCCAATTATTTTTTTAGATGTGATAAAACTTTTACAATTCACCACTATTACATTTATAAACATTTAAATATAGAGCAATTCTACAGGCCATATGTAATTTTACACTTCAACAATTGAAGATGTACAAATGTCAAAACAATGCAGTAAACCATAATGATAAACAAAAACCTCTACTCACTTGATTATCATCAAAAACCAAATATTTACAATTGCACTTGCAGACATCAGAATAATAAAACATTCTATTCCATTATGATATAAATTGAATAAAGTTATCATTTCAAATTAATTTGTGGAACCAAAATATATAGAAAACTGTTATCATTTCAACATAAATATAAACTCTCAGCACAAGAAAAAAATATATAATATAATAATATTTGAAAGCCTAACTTTTAAAGTTTTTTTTATACATAATAATTTATCAATGTAAAACTGATTTTGTTTTATTAATAAACCCAAATGAAGACAACTGAAAAAAAGTGAAGTGTACTTTGGCTTGTAGAATTAAAGCCAATAACATCTGGTAGAAGAAAAGTATGCTTACTATTTCATTATAGCAAGTTTACTAAATTTTAATTCTGCAAATCAAAGTATACAGTTTACTTTAATAACTATAGGGAGTGATTTGAAATACTTCAAAATTAAATTCTACAAAACTATAAGTTTAAGAATACTAAACATCCCAAAGTCCAATACATAGATACTTCAACCAAATGAATGTCTAACAGGGCCCAGATAGTGTAACTGGCAAGTGCACCACATGGTAAGCAGAGATTGCAGGTTCAAGCCCAGCTCCAGGCTAGTTCTTTTCTTCCAGATGGTTCTAAATTATTTAATGAATTATTAATTTACATAAGAGATGGCATCTAACATCTACCTCTAGTACCAAATTACTTAGTATTTAATTATTTAATAATAGCAGATTTACAGACCAATTGTTTAAGGCAATCATTTGATTGAAGTAACTGTAAGTTTGGAAAAAATTAAATTAATTAAGGCAAATCAATTAAAATATTACCTCGTTAAAGAGTATTGTTCAACTTATATGCAATCATAAAAAATTACATATACAAGAAAGACTACAGAAAGGACTAAGTATAATTTAAATGAAATAGAAATGTATACATGTTCATTATCAAAAATTTGATGATAAATATAAAATACTTGTTATTTCATCTCAGAATAAATTGTTAGTTAATTTTGATTATTTGTATTGTATGCAATTGAATGCATCAATGCTTTTATTAATTCCATCAAGCAGAAACCTTTATTATACTTTATTAATCTTTTGTCAGGCTAACCCCAACCTCAGGATGGTATTTTTTTTTTATGGATACCACTGCTTCCAAGTGCATGTGCAGCTTGAAGAGTATGTGTATTCTTGAAGAGATATGTGCACTAAACAATACCAGAGTGAGGAATGTTTTGGTTTCATAAAACAGTTACTTTTTTCAGAAAAAATAGGTATAATTCATCCTTATGACGTATTGCACTTCTTGTGTTGTGTGGAAAAAATGTACATCATTTTTCCATTTTTTCCTGCTATTTTTATTTTCCTTACTTTACTTTTGTTAGTAAACATTAAGAATTAAAAAAAAAATATTTAGTATTGATTAAAACCAAACATTTATTTGTATTACAGATAATTAGTAAATTATAAGTTAAAACTGTTACATTATGCTTGTGTTTTAATATGTTTTACTAAAAAAATAGATTGGTTCATTTTTTACATTTGTTTATACAACTTTATGTTTTTAACTGCAATTATATTTTTATAGATTCATATGACTACAAAACATGCCTTGCAGTCTTCAAAATCATTTAGAAGAGGAGATGCAAAATGCCAAAACTTACTATACAAGATAAAAGGGAAAGCAACTTAGGTGAAAAAAAATTTTAGAAAGTGATCATGAAAGTGAATTGCAATGTGTGGTTTTGATGACATTGACTGTAAAAGTGCAAAGGAGTGATATGTTATATCGTATTTTTACTGTATTTTTCCTATTGCCTTTTTTGTTTTTTTGGTGTGTGTGTGTGTGTGTGTGTGTGTGTGTGTGTGTGTGTGTGTGTGATAAGTTTTATTTAATCTAAAAGAAAAAATTATCTGTTCCTAGGACGGTTGCACCTGACAAAAAGTTAAGATTTCTTTTATTTAAGTTTGAAAATTAATTTTTTATACCAGAATTGCTATCTCAAAACCATTCTGTCTTCATTTTTAATATGCATAACTAAAAATAATATGAATATGCAAAATCAAAAATTTTTTATTTATAGTTAGCAAGTTATTAATTAAAACATTTATAAATTTAATAATTAAAATTAACAATATTTGCTATTATTGTAGATAAATTTTTATAATTAGCAAATTTAGAAAGTGAACTCTGGTGTCAGTCACATATAACAATGAACTATGATAGAACTATGATAATGGCCAAAAAATATTCTCAGAAATCTACACTCATTTACTGTTATGGAGAAATTTGATTAAGGTTATTTGTTAAAATTTCTTAATTAGATTCTTTTCAGTAAATCATTACAATATAATAAACAATTTAAAACAGATATGTTACAAGTTATTGTAATTCATTTTTAACTATGAAGAATAAGCAAAAGTAAAAATATAACCAAAAAACACAACTTCAATGTTTGTATACTTTTCACATTGTAAAGTCTTCAAATTTTCTTATATGAATACTGTTTAATTATTTTGAAAGTAAGTTTTTCAAAATGTTTTAGAAATATTCTAAAATTTTGATCATAATTATTTTGTTGATACTTTCAAAATGTATCTTAAATGTATATTTTGAATACAGTAATATTTATCAAATAAAATAAAACACAAGTTAAATGAAATATTGTTAATTCTATTTAGTCATATGGAGATAAAATTGTATTTAATTTAGTTTTATTTTTATAATTTAGTTTTGAAATAAAAGTAAGAAACTATATATATATATTCTTCAAAATTTTTTTATAATCAATCAATAATAATAATAATATTTTTTTGAAAGAAAAAATTGTTCAAAAAATATTTGTAATATCAAAATTTTTATATTTAATTGGTGAACTTACTCTGGATGTAGATACATTAACAACTGTGACTTTTCCTTTATCATCTCCAACAAATAATTTTGTTGTTGTAGAATTCCATTGCAGACTTGTAACCAGTGCTCCTTTATGCTCATAAGATAGTTGTAATCTTTGGGCTTGTGAAGAACTTTTCTCAGCATTATGTTCCACAACAAGCACGTGCCCTCGACTGTAAAAGATAAAAAACTTAAAATATTACACACTATACAATTGAATTTCACAATTTTATGATACACAAGGCCTTTTATAATAGATTATTTGTAATGAATCAGGAAATAAACAAGTTGCAGTTAAATAAGAAGTAAAATATAGTATAATATTGAAAAATACAAGCACTATTTAATACATTTTAATATTTTAAAAAGTAATTGAAATATTAGTAAGAATATTCAAATTTGAAAATTTTTAGCCTTTTAACTCTTACACTGAAGTTTTCCTTTTCCCCTTGTATATAAAAATATCATATGAAAATAATTAAAATGTTAATTAATAAGTCACATTGCTTTTTAACCACATAATACTCAGGTTTTATCATCATTTCTAAATGATGCATAAATACACAAAATCTTAGTCGTTTATGTACATTGCTACCAATCTATTTAGAATAATAGTGCAACAAGAAATATATATGCAAAATAATCAACATGCAAATTTGCTTTTACAGACAGCAAGTTGCTACTGTACAAAACTTGAAGTGTGCAATGCCATAACATTGTAAATGCCATTTTTCTAAATATGTTTTATTGAAGAACTGAATTCTAAATACAATGTTTTCTGCCACAAAAGAAAATTGTGGCAATATTGGCAGTGTAAGTGGCTGTATTTTGAAGATGAATTTATGTGAAAATATAATATTTAAAGTACCAGAGTGCAAGTCACATGCCTTTTGGTGCATAAAATGTTGCAGCTTATATTTACATTATTTTGATATTCCTAAGAATTTGTAACCCAGTGAGTTTTTTACCATTTTATTGTAAAATTGAAATGAATTCATTCATTAGAAAAAATGTTTTTCACCTCTCCTGAAAAGTTTCTTTCTTGGCATTTACAACATTATGGCATTGCACACTTCACTTATACAGTCGACCCCCTATAACACTGTTGAACTATAACACTTGTGATTGAAAAATTTGTAAAAAAAATAATTTAAAATTTAATTCACAACTGAAATTATAATAAAATTGTAATGTACAATTCCAGAATAACTGGTAAATAAATAACACAAAAAAAAATATATTAAAGAAATTGTTCATATAAGTGGTTTTTAAAACTAATATTTTGAACTGATTACATGAACAAACATTAGAATTAAAAAAAAATTTGATTTCTATAACTATATTTTCTAAAATTAACTGGAGGCAATTTATACTTTTTCTTACCTGGATGCATAACCAAGCACATTTTCTTCAGCTGCAATGCAAACCTGTACAATAGATCCTTCCTATAAAATATTAATTTTGTCAAATTACAAAATTTTCATTAAAATTATTTTATGCCATCTATACTATTATTATAAAGAGGTAATGTTTGTAAGTATGTATGTATGTATGTATGTATGTAAGTTTGTTTGCAGGAGGTAATCTCCGAAACTACTCATCCGATTTCAAAAATTTTTTCACCAATATTTAGAATGGAACCTCAGGGTGGACATAGGCTGTATATTATTCCGTTAAACATTCATATAAATTAAAATATATAATCTAGGTTAAGGCTTTTATGTCCAACAGATGGCGCTACGAGTACGACGCCCTAAGTTTGCTTTTCTGTGAGGCATTATGCTTTTCTGTGAAAATGAACTAAAGCAGATCATCTTCTATCTATCTATATAAATAAAAATGTAATGTTCGTTTGTTCCTACCGATTCCTTTGAAATTTTGACACAACGCTGCATTCGAATACGCACGTGTTTTTATATAATATACGTGTCGAAATTCCCCCCACTGAAGGGAGATGGACAGGATTAAGGCTTACCGTAAAGAACTCTGCTTCTATTTATACTATTTTAGATGCGGTTTTTTGCATTTTTGATTGCGTTTTAATAGGGTACTTCAACAGAATATACACTAAAAATATATTTTTCGAAAAATTTCCCCCTCCCACGGGGGAAAGTGCTATACATTTATAATAGAGACATTTTGAGCCACAACAACGCTTGGCAGAGTCTGCTAGTTAGCAAATACATTAGATTATGTAACATGAAGTTCTACAATTATAATCATGATTTTACTTTCCTGGCTCTGTTATGTATAACAAAAGAAATGTGGCAAAAAATGGGAAAGTAGTCAAAAAATGAACTCCAAAATTTTTACATTTTTGGACTCAGGAACCTTGAAACATCAAGAAATGCAAAAAATTGGGTTTTTTTTTCCTGTATGTATTGATGTTAAATTAATATTGTGTGTGTGTGAGGGGCACATTTTAGTTCACCCTCTTTGAATCTTAATAAATCATATGCTTTTTGTCAAAAATTTCTGAAATTTTGCAGGGAGATTTGAGTATTAGGTGGATTGATGCTATTAAATTTTGGTGGTTAAAGATCAATGAAGCAGAGAGATAAAGGATGTATTGTGTCTTATCTCGAGTAGGGTTAAACTTGACAATGATTTTACTTGTTATTACTAGCATTTACAATTTTTTATAAAACCCACCCCTACCCTCAAAATTATATTTTTAATTATTATAAAATGGCAAAAAGCCTAAAAAGTTTTTAATAAAATGTCATAACAGATAGCACCATAAAATTTTAAATGTTGCTGGAAAAGTTAAGCAACTCTGCTGGATTTTTTTTGCTTAGGAATGAAAATACAAATTATAATTCAAAAATATTAGCAAATAATCTTGTTAAAACAAATTAAAATATTATTTTGTATTAATCTACAAAGTCAAAGTTGTTGTTATTTTATAACTAAAAAGCTGTAACAATAATTTTTGCATTCAGATAAGTTGGCCCAAAAATCAAAAACTCACCCCATCGATTAATCAAATATAAATGACATTTCCAATTTCATCAGAAAACAAATACAGTAGAATCTGCTTTGTGTAATCACTTCAAGATTTCTCTTTACTAACAACATTAAGCAGGATATTAAATAAGACTACAATTAGTGGAAATTTTGGTTTTCTTGACTCAGACATTAAAATGATTACATTAAATAATGTAAACCTTTAACATTTTTATAACAGTTACCATTAACAATGCTATAATTATAAACTTATGTTTTGGAACATGCCAATTATAATAATGTTAAATGAATGACTGACGATAATATTTGTGAAAACATGCAGAGTCTACTTTTAAAATCACTAACAAAAATATGAATTTTGTCCTAAATTAATAGTTTACTTGTTGAACAGGCAGCCTTATTAATTTATTGAAAGGAACATACTTATCACTTATGTGAAATATTCTCTGTAGCTGATCAAAAAATGAAGCATCGTCATCATCAAGTGTAACTCTGACAAACATTTCACCACAAAAAATATATATATATATATATATATTTTTTTTGTGGTGAAATGAATTTCAAAAAAATCGATTATCCAAACAACCCGAGTTCTGAATTGTTTCAGATCTAGCTTATATATATATAAGCTAGATGAAAATTACAAACTACAGTAGAGCATCAATTATCCAAATATCAATCAACCAAAACATTGATTAACTGAAAGTGTTCCAGTCGTCAAATTTAAATTTCCGCTAGTGCTGTTGCACTGCAATATTTGGCTATGTCTTGGGCCACTCCAATATTATATTTGTCGGTTGAGTGTTTTAGCTGGCAGCACTGGTGAGACCATGAGAGGGTACTTAAGGACATGCCAGGATTTGAACAAATTTCAACAAGAGATAGGTTAATATATTTTTTTGTACATAATTGATTATCAAAAAAATCGATTATCCAAACAACCCGAGTTCTGAATTGTTTCGGATAGTCGATGCTCTACTGTATATTATAGATGCTCATTGTTAGTTCTATCTGTACAAACCTCTGTAAGGAACAAACAATATAATTTGCTTATTTCTCCTGCCATGAAATGTTTTAATAGTTACCAGATAAATTTAACAAATTTGTAAATATAAAATTGGCAAAACTGTTATAATTGTATAACAATCTTGTGCTTTAAAGAAAGTGCTTCAGTACTTAATTCTTCTTTCAAAATTAAATAGTCTATTCCATTAAATATGGCTGATGAAAATTTATTAAAGAGTAGAAAAAAATTTTCTTCACAATTTGTTGAATTGTGAAAACAAATTTTTTTATATTCTTCAGTATACTTATAATATGTAAATTATTATGAATTATTTGTTTTAAATTTATGGTATTCTTACCAGAAGATGCTTTTTTAAACCAATTTGCATTTTTTTTACAAAGATGTAGCCTCAAATAAAAGGTGTTTGTTGGTTTGTCACATATTGTGTAATAATGAATTGTGAAAACAAATATTTTGTATTCTTGAATATATTTTTCATAAATAATTTATCATTTAACATAACATCATTCATGATTATGGTATCACATATGACATATTCATTATTATTATATTTCATATGGTAATCTTGATTATTAATCATTGTGATGTNATATATATATAAGCTAGATGAAAATTACGAACTACAGTAGAGCATCAATTATCAATCATCAACTATCAATCAACCAAAACATTGATTAACTGAAAGTGTTCCAGTCGTCAAATTTAAATTTCCGCTAGTGCTGTTGCACTGCAATATTTGGCTATGTCTTGGGCCACTCCAATATTATATTTGTCGGTTGAGTGTTTTAGCTGGCAGCACTGGTGAGACCATGAGAGGGTACTTAAGGACATGCCAGGATTTGAACAAATTTCAACAAGAGATAGGTTAATATATTTTTTTGTACATAATTGATTATCAAAAAAATCGATTATCCAAACAACCCGAGTTCTGAATTGTTTTGGATAGTCGATGCTCTACTGTATATTATAGATGCTCATTGTTAGTTCTATCTGTACAAACCTCTGTAAGGAACAAACAATATAATTTGCTTATTTCTCCTGCCATGAAATGTTTTAATAGTTACCAGATAAATTTAACAAATTTGTAAATATAAAATTGGCAAAACTGTTATAATTGTATAACAATCTTGTGCTTTAAAGAAAGTGCTTCAGTACTTAATTCTTCTTTCAAAATTAAATAGTCTATTCCATTAAATATGGCTGATGAAAATTTATTAAAGAGTAGAAAAAAATTTTCTTCACAATTTGTTGAATTGTGAAAACAAATTTTTTTATATTCTTCAGTATACTTATAATATGTAAATTATTATGAATTATTTGTTTTAAATTTATGGTATTCTTACCAGAAGATGCTTTTTTAAACCAATTTGCATTTTTTTTACAAAGATGTAGCCTCAAATAAAAGGTGTTTGTTGGTTTGTCACATATTGTGTAATAATGAATTGTGAAAACAAATATTTTGTATTCTTGAATATATTTTTCATAAATAATTTATCATTTAACATAACATCATTCATGATTATGGTATCACATATGACATATTCATTATTATTATATTTCATATGGTAATCTTGATTATTAATCATTGTGATGTCAAAATAGTATAAAGTATGAAATCATTCAATTTTTTTCATAATACCTATGCTTATACATATACATTTATTAATGCATATGAAATCATAATATAGTGGAATCTGCTTATTGTGATCACTTTGAGATTTGTAATTTTTGAGAAAAATAATTGGTCGATAACATTAAACTGAGGATAAAAATTTTCATTATTGAACTCAATTTACTACAAACTGTACACTTAATATAGCATTTAACATTTACATATGCTACATTTCTTATAAAGATTGGTTTTGAAAACAACAAAATTTATTTGAAAACTTATCAAGTATTATCTGTCATTTATTTGCATTAATTAGCTCCTGAATATAATTCTCATAGTCATAATGCTTTTTGAAGTTTGTTGCTCTATATTGCACACTATGATGTAAAATTCATAGAGCTTCTATCTTGACATACTTCCCATACAGTGAATAGTGATATCTACATCTAACCAATTTTCAAATTTGTCTTAGACATACTGGCCTGAAATTCTTTTGCAAATTTCGGCTGTAAGGTCAGGTTCTTCAGAAGCAAGACTTTCAGCATTTATTTCAGAAAATTCACCATTTTGAACAAATTTGCTTCCAAAAGATTGCAAGCAAATGCAATACATTAAGAAAGGAAATCTTTTTTTTTTTTTTTTTTTGTAATTGTGCTTGATCAGATTAATCTTAAATTTCAAGTTCAGCTATAGCATGTCCATGAATTTGCCTGTGGTAATAAGTTTTTCAAGTTTGTACAATATCTTGGTCACATGGCTAAATCAACAATGTAGTACTTGGAGGTAAGATGATCATCTTGATGTTTTTTTAAATTAACAATAAAATGTGTGCAATGCATTTGTCTACTAACAAGATTATTTCTTGCTTTAATTCACAATCCCACTTAATTAACCAATTGTTGTAAATGACATTGATAATCCAAGCATTTGTACTAAAAAAGTAATCAATAAGCAAACTTTTTACAACTTTGAAGAAAGTAAAAATCCTGTGTTTTAATCACCAGAAGTTCTCACTTTTCACTTATCATTAACACAATTGTCATTCACTCTTTTGAAAATTTAAATCCTTTAGCAGTTTTCACTTTTAAACAAATAAGTATGTTCAGACATTCACGAAAATACAGTTCAGTTTCATTTGCATTATAAGTAACCTAGGATGAATATTCAGTAATAAATTTTGGTTATCTTATCTTTATGCGCTCATTAGCTGCTAACAAATCAGCACTTTTTCTTTACCATGAAGACATTTATACATGATATTCTTTTGGTTTTTTCCACCTGTTGAACCATCCATCAGTTGCAATGAAATCTCTGCTCATAGTTTTTGCTAATTCTGATTTTTTGATACATAACAGGTGCTTAAATTTTAATAACATTCTTTTCTTGAATGTTATTAAACAAAATTTTTATTAAAAATTGATTGATTCAACTTGCCTAATCCTCCTCAAATTGTTCTCTTCCAATCCATATTCTCATTAGGAAGTGAATTTTTATGTTTGATATATTTTTCAGGATTTTACAGAGAGTAGTTGTGAAATTTTTAAATTTACAGCTACACTACATTGACTCATTTTGGGCAATTTATCATAGCCCTCTAAAATTCAGTGCCTTTCTTGGAGAGACAAATCTCTATACTTTTGCTTAGTTTCTGCCATGATCCAAAGGGGTTTTCTTTTATAAAGCACTTTATACAGTCTTCTTAACTCAACAGATCACAAAACTAACTAGAGAAATCATAACAGGAATATTTATTCCCAAGGGTGCACTTCAGGAAAAAATCTACAGTACGTGTATTTTCTAGTGATGTAATGAATATTCGGTTACTATTCGGTATTTGGCCAAATACTGAATATTTAATCACTATTCGGCCAAATACCGAATACCTAAAAACAGGAGTAAGAAATAACAAAAACACAGTAAATTAATCATTTTGGTATTTAGATTTAATGTTATTGGGTTAGTGTTGTTTGTTTATATTTATTTATAACTTGTAACATGCACAAAATAAAAAAGAAAATAATATTAGTCACATGTATTCACAATTTATAATTACAAAGATCAGCACACGTACACGTCTATCGTTGGAGAATCCTCGCACATCTGAGGGTCTGACCCTGCCTATCCTTCTTTTTAAGCGCTCGTCTTTGCTCTTCCCTTTCTCTTTCCTCTATCGCTCTAGTCCACGTATGCCTATGCATACATCATAATATGCGCTCACGATACTTTCGATTCGTCACTTTTCCGTCATAGATTTCCAATCTTACAATTACATGACTCATAGCCTGGTGATAACGGAGAAAACACACACATAGAACGTCGGAATAAGTCACAGTTATGATTTCACAAATTCGAGACAGCTTGGTAGCCCGAACGGCCCCAGGCTTTTGCCCGTGCATGCTAAGTGACTTTCATTACAAGCATTTAGCTTTCCGAAGTCTATAACAACAATTGTTTGGCATTGACGGCCGCGAATTTCGCACCAATAAGATGCCTCCACTTGTTTGATTATGTTATCAACTTAATTTCGTATTTATTTTCAATTTTCACAGGGCTGTTTTTACAGAATAACACATCAAAACGATAAATATCATGTACTACAACAGATTTTTATTTGAATAAAACTAATTCTGTTTTCTGAAATGTAAATTTTTGCACCTATTTCTGCATCTTTTTGGCCTTTTTTTCTGCACCTTTTTCACACCTAAAAATCCAGCCGTTAGATATTTGTATACTTAATATAAATAAAATAATTGTAAATTCAATTATAGTTCAATTTTCATAACCAATATCATCAACTTTACAAAGTTAACTTTATTCATTTTAATTAAAACAATTACTATATTTTATGGCACATAAGATGTAACCTTAGTCTATTAAAAATCACCCTGCATCTTATATGTGAAGTTGTGGTCTCTCATAGACTAATGAATTCCTCAAATTAGTTGTACCAGTATTTGTGGTTACTGAGAATTTTAATTGTAAGATGCTTTTTGCTATAGCTATGCAACTTTTGTATGTTATATTTTAATGGTGAGTTTTAATTGTAAATGACTTATTTTAAACTCCTCCTTATCCCCAATAAATTAAAGTGTGCATTCTAATTTTACTTTTTTAAAGACGAATACAGTAAACTAATTTTGGGATAAAGTACCAAAAGCAAGAGATGGCTTAAAACACTAAATAGGGATGCCTCTTATATGCAAAAATTACGGTACTTTTAAAAGTATACACTGACAGTATAAAAGTATAAATTAAAAATTTAAGTTATTTTAATAAATTATCATAAAAATAAGTTATCAAATATAAATTTAATGTATCAAGTTTTAAAAATCAAATTACCTTGCTGGGTACTGTATTTAAATAAGTTAATGTATCTCTTAGAAACACAAATAAATCTCCACTGGACGAACCCAAAACTAAATAACGACGAGAGATGTCGAAACATGTGTACTATAAAATGTGATTAAATTGTTGTTAATAATAGTTATAAATTAATGCACATAGTTTTTAAATTCAAGTATAGGTTGAATATCTCCAATCCAAAATTCTGAAATCTATAAACTTCCTTTCACACCAAAGAGCCATTTAGAATAAAACTATGACGCATTGTCCATGCCATGAAAGATGATGCACTAGCATGCAAAGTAATTCAATAAACTGTCACACATTGTCATTGTTGTGTCTGTGACTACTTATTACTTGTTGGGTGGTTTATATCATTAAATATGTTAAAAAAGTCTGATAATAATTCTCTTAAAATCTCCTATATCAATTATTCCAAAATACAAAACATCATTCATCCTAAGCATTTCAGATTAGGGATATTCAATCTGTAATAGCTTAAAATAATTCTGTACATAAAATAAAGAACAACAACAGGATTTTTAAAATATTTGATAAGGCTAAATTTAATCATATTTAAATATGTTTTCTAAAAAACTAAGTAGAATAAAAAATAACAATTAAGTTATCAAATATCTGGGTAAGTTAAGAATCTTCTTTACAATTTACATTTAAAAACATAATTATGATAATAAAAAACTTTTATTATCATAATTAACATTCTATTAGTAAAATTTTTTACTAATAGAATGTTAACAATAAACAATAACTTAATTTTAACTTATATTAACTTACTTATACACTTGATATCAAAAATTAATCTTATTTAATGTAAAAGAACATTAGCTGGTAATTAGCTTGCAATATTTATCTTACAATAACCTTGTAAATCAGCAGACAAACATTTTAATTTACCAAAGCAAAAATTTTCAGCTTTTTTAAAAAGCCATCATCAGGCTCTTATAAATATAACAGTTTTTAAATTAATGGAATATCAAACAATTTAGAGGATGTCTTTTTAATAAAGCTGAAACATTTACTTTGGTATAAATTAAAGTGTTTTAGTCTTTTGATTTACAAGGTTATTGTGTAAGTTAGTATTAGTATTTAATTAGTTTTGTTAGTGATTATTTATCTCATTAAAAATTTGTATTTTTAAATATTACATTATTGTTATTTTGTTTATCAGTTACGGATGCTAATTTTAATTGATTAAGAACAAAAATGCCTATAATCAAAATCCAAGAAATTACCAAATTTGAGAAAAATTATATAACAGAAAAATCAAGATATTTCAAGTTAAATTTAATTTTCACAACTGATACTTATTTAATTAAAAACATTTTAAATTTTAATACACTATTATATCAGTACAAAATAATTATTAAATACATAACGTAATTTTCATATTCAAGTTATTACTAGATTGCAAATTTCGAAAGATAATATTTTGTTAGATAAATTCTGAAATGAACAAATATTTTTGAATATAAAATTACTGAGATGAAAGAATACTGCAATAGCAAATTTTTAAAATTAGTAATATTTATTCATTTATATTGATATTTAAAAGATAAATTTCATTAAATCTAATTTTATTAACATATCTACAAATATAATTTATTACTTTAATTTTTATTTTTAATTTTCTCCACAGCTTCTTTTACACTCCATTACTATTTGCATCACATTGAGGAAAATAACAAACCCACTATATTAGGGAAAATAAATCTATAAAAATAAATTCATACAGAAATTTTTTCTATAATGCATTTAAAACAATTATTTATAATTTTGTGTGTCTAAAATTTTATACTGCCAAATAATACTATGGAATGTAATTTTCCAGAAATAATTTAATTATTTAAACATATATTAGCAGATATTTTCAAACAGATCTGAAATGCAGTATATATCAGTCTCTCAGATTTCAACATATACAGTATTATTTTAAAGTGTATAAAGTACACACTTTTTAAAAAAATGGTAAGCTTGAAATAATAAAATTGAAAACTAATTAACTAAACTAAACTGATTTATTAATTTAGCAAGCAAGAAATATATAGAGCTCAAAAAGCTATCAAATTTTCTTAATTGTATATAACTGTACAAAACTTAAACAATTTAAAACTAATCAATTTTAAATCATACTTTTATCCTTGAAGATGATTTAATTGGAGAATAAATGTCTTCCAGTATATCTAGTTCTAACAATATATAGGAAGGACCTGTTACAGATGTCTGTTCTTCGCTGACTGCCATGTTATTATCCACAGCAGCATAATGTATTTCTAATCATCCTAAAAAACAAATGAATAAAACATTATAAATNTTTCTAACATTTACTTTCATATAACACTGAACAGAAATTTATGCTATTTGGAAACTGCATCTACTACACTATAGTAAAAAAATAATCATTTTCAAGAATTTTATTTTAAATTTAAAGCAAAACTTGTTTTACATAATTGAATTCCTTGTATAATTTAAATGTTCTGTTGTTCATTATTACATTGTAACAGTTTAGAATATAGATATATTGTTATTTCTGAATTTAACAATAAAAATAAAATCAATTCCATATGAAGACTTCAATAATTGTGCTATACAATTTTTGGTTTCTTTGAATATGGTTGCCTTCCTAGTTAATTTTTTAAGTCTTTGTATTAATAACATATCGTAACTAAATTGTTCCTTTATAAGAACTTGTAGATCTGATACAAGAACACACTTTCTCAATATAAACAAGTCTTATCATAAGGGATAACATAAAACATCTTAAGCTTAAAATGTATTTTGAAGAAAGATAAGCTTATTATTATTTATTGGAGAATCAACAAATGTGTACATAATACTACATATCATTCACAAGTAGAAGCATCTTTGTCTTTTGCACCTGCTCAACATACAAACGATAATAAGACATCCCATCACATTTCTTCATATCAAGATGACTTTCTGATGTAAAAAAAAGTAAAATTATTTTAGAGCCACATTTTGACATTGTGGAAAAATTGTTGAAGTTATATATAACAGCCATAATCCTTAACATCAGTTGAAAAGATTTTTAATGCAATCCTGAAATTATAAGCAAAATGACATCTAAAAGAAATATAAAGAAATTACAGTACATCTATAACCAACATAACACAATGTGCATCACAGTAAATATTCTCTAATATTAAAAATTATCTACAGTTTCTAATATTTATTTTAATATATTTTCTTTGCCTGAATAAGGAATGAAAAGAAACACAGTATAGAATCCTGATTATCTGAGGTATTGTGGACTGATATCACCTAAGGTAACTGAAAACACAAATAAAAACAAATATCCACAACTATTTTGAATTGAAAATTACCATATAAATCTTTTATATTTGTATCACTTTAGGAGCCTCCTGTTATACCTTAGTGAATTTAATTATATAACAACTATAATTTTTACATATTCTATACTAATATTATAAAGATGTAAAGTTTGTAAGTTTGGATGCAGGAGGTAATCTTCGAAACTACTCATCTGATTTCAAAAATTCTTTCACCAATATTTAGAATGGACCTTCAGGGTGGACATAGGCTTTATATTATTTCATTAAACATTCATATAAATTAAAAAATATCATCTAGGTAAGCATTATATTTTTGGTGTCATCGGGTGGCGAAGGGAAGACATTTATGTATATGAGATAGGTAACCATATGGCACAGTCGCGTGGTCAGTGAGATACGCAGTGCATGTGTCTGAACTTGTAGTATATAAAGTTGACACGGGGAATGCATGCACATAAGTTTGGATGGCTTGTGAGCGCTAAGATTGGCTTTTCTTTACCTCTAGACTTATTACACCACCATGGCGCTCACAAGCCATTCAGAAGACTAGACAAGAAGCGTATCATAGTACACATAAGTTTGCTTTATTCGAACTCTTAGTCTTAATGCTTGAATTTATATTTACAAATGATTCAAGAAGATCCAACTTATTTTTCAAATTTAGTAAACTAGAAGAAGAACCCAGAAGGGGTTACAAAAACATTTGTTATTTATCACTTAGTGGTACTATGCACTGGTTAGTGGTTGCTGTGAATATTAATTATCATTATCCCAGTGTGGTAGCAGGTATCTAAAAATTTTCTAATTAGTCTCGGAAGAGGGGGACCTAATTCTTGCTCTCAGTTAAAATGGGTAAGATTGGCCATAATCTAATGATCTTAATCTTTGCTATTGTTTTTGTTCAAGCAACACCAGACTCATCTGTTAGTTTATTATACAGTTAATGTGTACAATAATTTTATGAATGAAAACACGTATTATTTTTGTAGATACATTTTAATATAAACTGATTTGTCTCCCCTTAAAATTAAATAATGAAAGGTAATAGAAACAAATTATTTTGTAATACATGTTATCATTGTAAACTTTTTATGAATTGCAGTATAAGAGAACTAGAGTATTTATTTGTAAGTTTGCCTCAGATAATGAGGAATCTTGGTTAAGTATGGTTCTTACTATATACAAAATTAGAGTGGAGTTTTTAAAGAAAAAGGTAGCTATAAATTACATTATTTTTCAATACAAATCTTATTCAAAATAATTTGCTTTACATTATTTGAGTTTTCATATGATATAGGACATCTCAATTTCTAACATTTACTTTCATATAACACTGAACAGAAATTTATGCTATTTGGAAACTGCATCTACTACACTATAGTAAAAAAATAATCATTTTCAAGAATTTTATTTTAAATTTAAAGCAAAACTTGTTTTACATAATTGAATTCCTTGTATAATTTAAATTTTCTGTTGTTCATTATTACATTGTAACAGTTTAGAATATAGATATATTGTTATTTCTGAATTTTGACTTATAGAGAAGTTATTACATCCCAAAAGACTGTTCAGAATCTTAAATTTATTATATAAGTAAATACTTTAAGTCATTCATTTTACAATACAATAAATCTGACTTACGGAACCTGTAACCGATGCGTATCACTTTTTCTTTCAACAACCAAACGTTTTCATAACCCCTTCTGGGTTCTTCATCAGGATAACAGCTGGATCGAATAGCAAACAACGAATTCAAGAAGTTTGAATAAATCCGAACTTCTTAGAGTTTGAATTGTTCCATTCGCTTAATCAGTCATGAGATATAATTGAAACTGTTCTAATTCGACGGTCGATGTTCAAATATCTCGTGTCTGATTAAGCGAATGGAACGATTCAAACTCTAAGAAGTTCAGATTTATTCAAACTTCTTGAATTCGTTGTTTGCTATTCGATCCAGCTGTTATCCTGATGAAGAACCCAGAAGGGGTTATGAAAATGTTTGGTTGTTGAAAGCAAAAGTGATATGCATCGGTTACAGGTTCCGTAAGTCAGATTTATTGTATTGTATACAACCCGATGTGCAGTTGATAATATATCATTCATTTTACTTTCTTTTTTCTATTTAATTCAAGATACTTCATGTCATTGTACCAAATGAACTTATGAAATTCATTCTAAAATAATTGGTAACATTTCTAATTATTGATTATTTATACTTATAACACAAACATATTATTGGATTCACTATTTGCATATGTTTAAAGTAAATAGAAAATAACAGAAAAATTTCTTTCTAAAAATCAATTGTTGACTATTAATAATATTTAATAGTTAGATTGATTTTTTAAAGGAATAATTCAAAAACATCTATAAAAAAAAGACCATTCAAAATAGATCTCCAAATTGAATTTGGAGATCTATTTTGAAATTAAGCCATTAGGTGAAAAATTCATCATCATAATTATATCTTAAGATTGTTATATATATATATATATATATATAATAATAATAATAATAATAATAATATTGTTATGGCTAAAGTGTACAAGTGTATGTTACTGGCCAAACCCGATTTCAGGCCAAACTAGTTTATCCTACGCGTGTCAGGATATACTATTTTAACCTAGGATAATCTAGTTTGGCCTAAATACTTTAGGCTTAACTAGTTTGTCCTAGGCTGAATTGATTTAGAATTATTATTTAAGTCAGGCCTGGCCAACCCAAATTGTTTTGCGGGCCACTTTGATCAAGCATAACATTACAATGACTACAATTTAGACAAACATGCTTTTAAAAAAGTAAAACAAATACAAAATGAATAAGAGTCATTGTTATACCAAGAGTTTGTACTCACACTTGCATATTATAACAATGACACATGCAAATTTTCATTTATTTAATTGTTTTGGTATACACAAAACAGAAAACGAAAGTTTTAATAGATATATAATATCGCTTAGCGTGCCACACAATTTAATGTGACAGGCCGCGGGTTGACCAGGCCTGATTTAAGTATATTAATGGTTAAAATAAAATTAAAAGGCAATCAATTAGATGAACAATATTTATTCAAACATAGTCTACTCAATTATAAAAAATGGTATTGATTAGAAGTGACACAGCACTTGTACAAAACTATGAAATAAAAATAAGCTAATCAGTACTTATCAGTTTGTATTTTTTTTTTTATTAAGCCATGCATTTTTAAAGGTAATTAACTTTCGAAAATATTTTCAAAAATTCAAACGCAATAATAAAAATAACTTTTAAAGTCAAACTAAAATAAAAAATGAACTTGTTTGTGTTTCTTAGTGTAACATATAAAATATTTAATCTTTTATTTATTTTTACAGAGTGGGTTAAAGTGTACCTAGGTAACCCCAATGGCGGTACTTCAAACTTTTCGTGCAATAACTAGTGACAGGCTGCTCATTGTTAACGTCACTAGTTATTGATTCACGGTAGTTCTTGAACAAAAGAAACACAAGGAAACGTCTACTAAAAATGTAGTTAACCTAACCAAACCAACCTAACCGAAGCGCCGCCATTGGGGTTACCTAGGTACACTTTAACCACCGGGTGTACTGTGGTGGCATTTCGAATTACACAAAATAATTTTTTTTTTTACACTGGCACCTATTTGTAGTACATAAATCAGTTCAGCCTAAGTCAAACTAGTTAAGCCTAAAGTATTTAGGCCAAACTAGATTATCCTAGGCTAAACTAGTATATCCTGACATGCATAGGATAAACTGGTTTGGCCTGAAATTGGGTTTGGCCAGTAACATATATATATTTAAAATTTTTTTTAATGTAACCTTTCAAATCTTGTGTGTGTTTATGTAAAAAGTTAAGAAGGCCAAAAATCAAAAATCAATTCATTAATATTAACATATAACAATCTTTCAAAACTAAAATACTACTTTCTTCAATAGTTTTTAAAATAACTATACAATTAATAGTCTATC